TCCGACTACGAATTTTTTTACAAAGTTTTTGATGCAGAGGAAAAGAAGAAACAGAGGAAGAAGAAGAAGAAAGTGAAATTTGCAGAGAATGTGAAAGAGACGAAAGGTAACGGTGAAGAGTATCGTAAGAAGAGGGAACGTCTTCAGAGAATTGTACCGGAACAGATGGTTAAACCGGAGAAAACCGGTTCGGTTTGTAGAAACGACATGCCTGCTAACCGGATTGCTTTGTACAACGGGATTCTTAGAGACAGAGATCATCGAATTCAGTGCTCCTATTGACTTTTTTCTTTTTCTTCTTTTACCAAAAAAAAAAAGAAAAATGTAGAAAAGAAAAAGGAAAAATAATTATAATGAATTATTGTAGATAATTATTAGCTTTTCGGATGATTCTCTGTATGTAATTTTAGGTGATTGACATGTGAAATAGAGTTTTTAGCGACAAGAAAAGAGTAAGCTATTTAAAAGGCTCTTTTTACATTTGAATATTTGATTATAAATTTTCTCCCAAAACAAAAAGAAAAACCATATTTGTATATGTTTAAAGAGTTAAAATCAGGGAAATCTATGTTTTTAATTATCTGTTATTAAGAGTCAAGAAAAAAATATTGAAAAGTTTGTTGGTAGTTAATTCAAGGGAAATTTGATTCTATAGCCAACAAAAAATTAATAATTAAGAAAGTAACGCTTCAAAAAAAGAAACCGATATTGTGTATATTTTATGTAATAAAGACAACTCTACCATCTGTTTGAAGTCCACGCTCTTATTCTTCTTATCTTCTTCTTCTTACCTGTTGCGTGAGAAATCTTTTTTCTTGGCTACTGTAAAAATTTGAATTGAGGTTTACTTTCATCGAAATAAAAGTCACGAAATCTGAAGCTTCTAATTTCTTCTACGATAGGCCTGTATAATTTTGAAGAGAGAAAAGCTTGTAAATTGCAGAATGGTTGTCTAGGGTTTGTTCGTAATTGATTTGGGGGTTTCAATTTACAGAGGCGGGATCTCGGTTTTGGGCGGAGCTATTCGAACTACGTGGTTGCGGTTGGCGTCGTGTCTCCTTCTACCATCAATTTTCAATCCCGAGTGCCGTAGCCATAGTTCTCCATCGAGAAACTTGTTCACGCGTCTCTCATTTCCATCATGGCGAGTGAGAAGGAGTTTCTAGTCTTTTCAGGTACCTCAGATGCTACGGACTTCATTTCCAACTTTGTGGTGCTATATATTTAATTCCACCTGCCAAAAACGTCACTTTTGCAAATCACCCTTAATTCAATATATCGGTTAACAAAAGTTTGTTTTTATAAAACTCTAGTTAAAATTAAAAAAAAAAAAAAAAAAAAAAACTTCAGGATTATATGTATCACGCTTACCAATTTATGGGAAACAAAAATACTAAAAAAAAAAAACTATTATTTGGTCGTGAAAATCCTTAAATACATATATAAATTTTGATAAAGTGCTATATTAGTATGTTTTTATCTATCAATCTTTTGCATAAAGTGAAGAATAGTGTAAGAATTGAATGATTGTGTATATTCCGATTATTCGACCAACGACTAGACTTTTTTTTTTTTTGTCGAAAGGACCAACGACTAGACATGCACACATAATCAGTGATACACTTTAGCATAACATTTACCATATAAAAAGATTCGGGCTTCAACAGATAACACATGAGACATGTGACTGATCGATGGTTAGTATTCTTTACAAAATCGAGTGTTTCATTGAGGCAGAAAAATACAAGGCTCATGGTCAAGAAGCCATATTTTGACCAATATCAATTTTTAACTCAAAGTCCCTCGCCACATGTGGGGTTTGGTGAACCGGAACAAAACCATAATGGGCCACTGTAGTGTGTAAAACGAAACAAACCGGTGGTCCAAATTGCTAACCGCCAAAACATCGTGACGGTCCACCAAAAATTATACTTTTCGTGTCTAATACTTCATTAAAGTATTGTGATGAAAATATGTTAAATTATAAAAGTAATCAGGTTCATATTCTATGATTTATGCATTAAATTATAAACATGTTAAAGTGACGACAGGACAGTCTTTTACCATGTTTAGTTAGTGTGGTTCTGAATTCTGATTCATCAAGAAACAAAATTACCATAACATCAAAAAAAAAAAAAAAAAAAAAAAAAATTACCATAACATCTATGTATAAAATTTGGATCTCTGATTTTTTAATCAGATATACGTCTGCTTTATAAAAATAGTGTTTAAAACTAATTAACACCAACGGGAGAAGAAAAAGAAAATACGAATTAGCTATTTTTTTTTTCTCAACAAAAGCTTACCTACTAACCGTAACCTAACTTACATACCATTTAGTTTTTGAAGTATTTAAAACAAAAACAAAGACTGAGGCACTAAAAAGCCAACAACGGTCCAACGATGGATAAGGTCGGTCCAAAAGCTAATAATTCGACAATACTCTGGACACATGGCTTTTCTTGTCGTAACCGGCCCCATTTTTGTTCTTAGAAAAAAAAAATTAGAAACGGTTTTTACTTTTTTAAATAAAAAACAAAGTAGATTCTAGTTGCAAACCCAAAGCATGGTTCATGCCTTTGCACTATTCAAATTGACACGGTTTTACTAATTACACCGTCCTGTTGAATAGTAAATTTTGTTAATCATTTTGCAAAAATAATGAAAAAAGTTAAAAATAAAATTTCTAAGCAAAAGCTATTTAGCTATAGAAGTTGGTTTAAAAACCGGTTTACACATGATTTGGCAGCACAAAACCGATTTGGTGAACCAGTAGTTATGTGAAGTCGTTGTTCTCATTAAATCCACTAAACCCACAACCTATTGCTATAACTTTTTGTCATTTTGTACAATACATTGTAGAAAGAAGTTATAATGGTTTAACAATTTGAGAATTAAGAGAAGTTAGAGAAAAGTAAAAGTATTTTAGAATTTTTTTTTGCAAATTCAACCAGAAATAAAAACATTTGAACTGTGATTAGTTTTCGATTCCGGACCAATTCCAAACCAATTTCGTCGCCAAATTGAATTAACATTTTTGTGCTCCTTTTTTTTTTTTTTTTTTTTTTTTTTTGTGCTCCTTTACCGTTAACTTGGTTCTAATCTATGGTATCTGCGGAATGAATGATATTTTTATATTTTTTGAAACTTTGAATTGTATAGGCGAAGTTTTTATTTATTTTTAGAAATTCATTTTTTATATAGTATTATTAGATACTATTTGGGTTTTGTTGCCGTATAGTTTTGTTTGTGTGGTGAACTTTTCTCGTCCTTGTGTATCTCTTGTTCTCCGCAGATATTAATGTTTTTACCGGAATTGTTTTTAGTTGATGTTGCATAGTTGTGGTGTTTATTTTTAAATGTAACGTAAAAACTCCTAGGTTATATTTTTAAATGTAAATGATGTAACGATAGGAAGTTGATATATCTAAGATAGAAACTAACATAAGATTTGTTAAAAATTATATCAAATTGTCATTATAACTATGATCCTTTGTTAAATTATCATTTAAGAGTATAATTGTCATTTTAATCTGCAGATCCATTTAAAGACACGGAGTTGTTGGATAACATGGTATACAACCTGTGGAGCTGCCAAAGATTGTGTTCCTCACCTTTAGGAGCAGGCCTCCGTATCCACCAAAGGAAGAATTCGAACTTCGAAAGCCAAGATCGGTATGGAGGAATCTTTTGATCGCATTGTAAGTAATCTTGATAGTTGGCGCCTTTGTTGTGATGGATCGAGCTCGCCGCACAAGCAACTTGTGGAGCTTCCCCATATGGAAATGGGCTTTGACATGCTGGGTAACTGTAGTTGCTAGACGCATCACCTACTCCTTGGTGACTATCTTTGGATTTTTCATAAGGTGGATCTTGAAATCAAAGCAGCGGATGACAATGTACGTTCTTCGTGGTCTTCAAAACCCGCAAGGATGTAGATGATGATGGTGTTCATCATCACGCCGTGGTATATACTCATCTCAAAGTAGGCGACAAAGGAGCAAAACATAGTGCTTCTCGTGTTGATCGAGGTGCTCACGGCGGTTCTGATCATCTCCTCTTTGTGGTTCACAAAGTCAATTGTCACCATGTATTGTGCAACATGGTTTCACTGGGCAACTTACCAAGATAACATTTTTTCAAGAGAAACATATATTTCATTAAGCAAATTTGAAATAGCCAAAAAATGAATTCCGAAAACAAGGAAAGAAAAGAAAATTAAAAGGCTGGTGACTATTCAATAAAGGAATAAAGAAAACAATTCATAATAAGAGAATAAAAGAAATTAAAAATATATATGAGCAAATCATAAGCAAATTATAAACAAAATATAAGAAAATATTAAAACAAGTGTCAAAATAAACAAAAATATAAGTATAGATTCAAATCATTACCCAAAATAAAATAATTATTAATAGATAACAATACTAAAAATGTAGTAGTATAAAGTAAAAACTGACGGAGGAAACTGGTGTGACACATGATTAATTTTTTATTCCGGACCAATCCCAAACCAATTTTGTCACCAAATTGAACTAAGATTTTTGTGCCTATTTTATTTATGCTTACATATTGAATCTCTTACAATAGAGTTACCATTAGAATAGAGTTACCATCACATATTGAATCTCTTACAATTGTTTGGAAATTCAATTTTTTTAATACAAAAACAAAGTCTATAGTTTTTATGTTAGTTTTGTTGAAATAAATTATCCAAAAAACAATTGGTTGAGAGAAAAAAAAAAATAATTCAAGAATCGTTTGAAAGAATTTCGATTTTTCTAGGAATTGCTAGCTCAAGGCGGTTGGTCTTGTGTCATGATTTTCTTCGTTAACCTATTCATAAATTCCATTTAAAGAAAACAAATATTGAAAATAAAAGAACCTTGTGATTATCTAGAAAAAGGTTGTAGAAGAAACAAGAAGCATCGCTCTTTAGATTTCCAAATTAACCCAGAAACTCTTAGAAACTTCTCACACCTCTCAGAAACCTTTACCATATAAACCCTAACCCCATCTTTATAAACCCAACATTTCTTGGCTTTTTCTTTCAAACTCAGACAAAAAAACAAAGAAAACAAAAGATTATCGAATTGCAAAAAATGGCTCTAGCTCGTTTGGCTTTGAGAAACCTTCAACAAAAATTGTCTCCTAGTCTAATGGGTCAATCTTGTGAAAGGGGTTTGGTCGGAAATCGACATAATCCAATGAAGCTAAACAGATTCATGGCTACTTCGGCTGGTGAACAAGAAGATAAGAAGAACACAGAAGTGAGTGTGTCTGAGAAGAAATCTCCTCGACGGAATTTCCCACGGAGACGTGGCCGGAAAAGTCTCTGGCGTAACACCGACGATCATGGCTACTTCGTTCCCACCCTAAATGGTATGTTTGTCATTTTAGTTCATTATTGAAATACCTATTTAGCAGAAAATTTCAATAATATTAATATCACAATGTATTTTATGCCCGTTTTTGAAATTATTGTCAAAAGTTTTTAAATCATATAAAAAATAATTCAAAATTTAAATGTAGGAATATATTCCATAAAAGAATTAAGAAGAACCTTTGTGAAATTTTGAAATTGTAAAATCATAAAAATACTTCAAATTTTAAATTTACATTAATTTCGTTGCATTAAATAACATGAATATAATTAAATTTTAACCTCAATTTTTGATTGAATTGATTTTCTATTACAAAAAACAGAGTTCTTTCCTCCGACTCTAGGAAATGCTCTGATGCAAGCAACAGAGAACATAAACAGAATTTTCGACAATTTCAACATTAGACCATCACAACTATTCGGTCAAGTGAAAGAGCAAGACGACTGTTACAAACTCAGATACGAGGTTCCGGGGCTAACCAAAGATGACGTGAAGATCACGGTAGATGATGGAATCTTGACGATTAAAGGAGAACACAAGGCGGAGGAAGAAAAAGGTTCACCTGAAGAAGACGAGTACTGGTCTTCAAAGAGTTATGGTTACTACAACACGAGCTTGTCGTTGCCTGATGATGCTAAGGTTGATGATATCAAAGCAGAGCTCAAGAATGGTGTGCTTAATCTTGTGATTCCTAGGACGGAGAAGCCAAAGAAGGATGTTCAGGAGATTTCTGTTGAGTAAGGACACGGTGTCGCTTTTTGTGTCTTTGATGGACTAAGCAAATAATGTTGTATCCTTTCATGTTTTGTAATGAGAATGGAATAAATTGCTAATTAACGTAGTTAATTTGCGCAAACAAAAGAATATAGCCAAAATTAGTTAGTAGTAATTTTTAGTAATTAGTGTGCGGAAAATATAGCCAAAAATATTGATATATTCAGCAAGAAGTCCATGGTTTTACCCGTATAAAATTTTATTTGTAAATTTTGTATTAGTTATTATTTATATGCTCATTTTGTATGCTATACAATACACTATGAATTTCATCTTTTATAGACAAGTTTTTGTTATATATTAAATTATTTGTTTATAAACATTTTTTTCAGAAAATATTTTGTCTGCTTTGTTTATTTTTTGTAAATTTTTATCACACTTTTTTAATAAAATTGTAGCGTTAATGATTTGTTGTGGTTTTCTATGCATTTTTCCATTTGTTTATCAACTTATTAATTTGTATCAAAAAATATTATTAACGGAAAAAAATACATTTGACCATCGGTTTATATATAAAATAAATAAAAATAATGAGAAAACAAACAAGGTCCAAAAATATCGTGTGAAGAAAATGGCGACAGCGTTTTGCCAAACCAGTTCAAGCTCCAACCTTTACCTCCATCGCTGCCGTCAAAACCATTCTCTTCCATCTCCGTCGCGCTTTTCACCGTTACGGTCGTCTCGGCTTCATCCTCATACCCTCTTCCTCTTCGCCACTCCCGACCGCGTACGACGCATCGCCGTCGCTCCTCTCGGCCCTCCAACACCGCCTAGTCCCGACCCACCTCCGCCTAAAAACACGACTGAGCTCACAAGTTCGTGTTTCCTTCTTACCAAGAAAACTTTTATGTTTCAACTCTGAGTTCGGATTTTGTTTACTGCCAATTATTGTTTTCAAACATTCCTAATTCGATGAAATTGCATTAGGGAATTCGAATTGGGGATGGAGATGGTTTTAACTGCTATCATTTGTTGTTGGTATTGATTCATTGATACCATATATCATCGATTTATGCCTAAAGTTTTGATCTTTGTGACAATTTATAGACTTTTACTGTTAAGCATTAAGAATTTAGACATCTCCTCTTTCTACAACTAGTGGATGTGATCCAAAAGACTCACCATTTTTCTTCTGATTTTGCTCTCTACATGTTTAGTCATTGATCTTTAGCCATGTAGTCTTAAAAACAATCAATTGGATTCACAGTTGTTGTTTGGTTTCACATTTTGTTTCATTGTCTTTTCCTTTATTTCTTTGTATAGGTATTGTGGGAGTAGCGTCGATGATCCAAGACCGTATAAAGATCTTTCTTTCAGTACTAATTTGGATCTCTCTCTTCTTCTGGGCTTCAGCATTACAAGGAAGAGACAAAGGAAATGGTAAAGGGAAGAAGGGTTCACGATTCAAATAGTATTAGTTAGGTTGGTGTGGTGATGATTGATGATTGATGAAAACTCCTCTACACATTTGTGTATATATACAGAGGAAATATTCTTCCAAGTAAAGCATATTTCTTGTAACATTACAGTTTTATACTAGAAAGTAGATTTTAATCTTCTTCAGATGAAAGGAAAGATTTTGCCGCGGTGATTCTTTTGCGATATCTCTAGGTTAGAGCTATAGATATTACTCTACTGTGATGTAACTAAGTAGTTTGCATTTAAGTCAAAATGCCAAATCAAATGCTCTTAGATCATTGTTTTCTGAATGATGTTTCAGACTGTAGATGTTTGTGTTGGTTCTTGATTTAGCCAAACGGTAAAAACGGCACCGTTTCTTTGATTTGAATTTGTTGTATAACATGGGCCTTTAAATATGTTATAAAGCTTTTTGGGCTTCAACATACCCTTTTAATTGGCCTCTCAGACTCTATATATTTCCAAAGTTAAGTATTGAATTCTTTATAGATACAGTAGTTGTAATTATTCATGATATGAAAAAGAAATAACTGGATTTAGGTAAATCTTACTCAAAATTGGGACAATAAATTAACCAGCTCATGATTAGTTGGATCTGTTTTGGTTAAAGGCTGGTAGAAAGTTAGAAATGGAAATTTATGATAAGAGCCTAACATTTTGTTCTGACCACACTGAGTAATAAGAGCAACATTATTGGGAGGTGCTTAGTTTTGGTTCTTAGTAAATTTTTTGGTTCTTAGCCCAATTTTTGACTCTTAGCTAAGAGTCATTCCTTAGCAAAATCATCAATTACACATTTAATTTTAAGATCTTTTGAGCTAAGAACCAAGTTAAGCACCTCCCAATAAAGATGGTCTAACAATCTAACTAAATTAAGATTTTATACTAATATTTAATTTATATTTTTTCTGATTCTAGAGATAATTTTTCCATATCTAGAGATCTTCAGAAACTTTTGTTTCTTTAAAAAATTGCAAGATTTTGTAATTGAAGATTCACCAATGTAAAGGTGTGATTAGGAAATTTTGATTAGTTGTCATGAGTCATCAACAGGCCATAAAAAGGAAATCTTTGAAATTCAAAAAACAATACATATAATAATAATAATACCTTTTGATTTAATTATTACTATATAAATACTATATGTGTGGATATGCACAATCATTCCCACTAATATTTTAAAATATTTTTATAAAGTGTATAATTTTCAAATTAAAACAGCTAAACACACACACAACCACATTCAAAAAAGGGTCAAGCATTGAAGAATATTCTAAGAAAAATTGTTTCTCTTCTTCAAGAAGTAAAAGCGACTCTCTCTCTCTCATTAAGCATCAAAGAAGTTTCTTTCTGTTCTTTTGCTTTGCTGTTACATTCTCCAGGAAAAAAAGGCGTTACCTTTACTCTCTCTGCAGCCACGAGGAAGAGTGTAGAAACTAAAGGAGCTGAATTTCAGAGATTTTTTGTTTGTTCAAAGATGCAAATTTTTAGTTGCTTCTGCTGTGGAAAAGGATTTGATCGGTATGTATAAGTTTTATCTTGTTTTGTTTGGTTTATGGGTTTTATCTGATTTCTCCATTGTTGTGTTCTTGCAATATTTGTTCTTGGTTTTATCTATTTAGCTATTATTCTTAATTAGGGCTTTGAGATTTAGATCATTTCTCGAGTTCTCTCGAATGCTTGAATCTACGAGCCTATTCATGTTCAAAATTTGTTTTTTTGGTGTAAAGTTTTTAACTTTCGACCAACAATCTACTGTTTGATAAGCTTAAGTTTCACAAATTGCACAGGCAAAAGAAGGTGAAAACGGAGCCATCATGGAGGATTTTTTCACTGAAAGAACTTCACGCAGCAACAAACAGTTTTAATTACGACAACAAGCTCGGTGAAGGCCGATTTGGAAGTGTGTATTGGGGTCAGCTATGGGATGGATCTCAAGTAATGATTCTCTATAACTTGATATATAGAAATCTGTTCTTTTCCGGGTCAGCATTGTATCGAATTAGTTTGTAGAATCACAATGTGTAGATTTGGTCTCTTTGATCTTCATATTGTAATTAGTTTTTGTTGTTGTCTGTAGATTGCAGTCAAGAGACTGAAGGCATGGAGTAGCAGAGAAGAGATAGATTTTGCCGTAGAAGTTGAGATTCTTGCTCGTATCCGTCACAAGAATCTATTGAGTGTACGAGGTTACTGTGCGGAAGGACAAGAACGACTCATTGTATATGACTACATGCCAAATTTGAGCTTGGTCTCTCATCTTCATGGTCAGCATTCATCTGAGTCGCTTCTTGATTGGACCAGGCGGATGAATATTGCTGTAACCTCTGCTCAGGCGATTGCGTAAGTTTTCGGGATCAAGACAGTTCATATAAATTAGCAACATCTACAGTTGACTGATTTATTCGTTTCCATTTGTTTACAGCTACTTGCACCATTTTGCAACACCTCGAATAGTCCATGGAGATGTGAGAGCAAGCAATGTGCTCCTAGATTCTGAGTTTGAAGCTCGGGTTACGGATTTCGGATACGATAAGCTGATGCCAGATGATGGAGCTAACAAAAGCACCAAGGGTAATAACATTGGGTATCTCTCACCAGAATGTATCGAATCTGGAAAAGAATCAGACATGGGAGATGTGTATAGTTTTGGTGTTCTTTTGCTGGAGCTTGTAACTGGTAAGAGACCTACTGAAAAGGTAAACTTAACAACAAAGCGGGGTATTACCGAATGGGTTTTACCTCTTGTATACGAAAGAAAGTTTGGTGAAATTGTCGATCAAAGGCTGAATGGGAAGTATGTGGAAGAGGAGCTGAAAAGGGTAGTTTTGGTTGGTCTCATGTGTGCTCAGAGGGAGCCAGAGAAGAGACCAACAATGTCTGAAGTTGTGGAGATGCTAATGAATGAATCAAAGGAGAAAATGGCTCAGCTTGAAGCTAATCCACTCTTCAATGGAAACAATGAAGGGGAAGTTATAGATGAAAGCTCAGAGATCATTTCGGAAGAGAGAGATCATCAATAACAAGTACAAGAATAGATAAAGTCTCTGTTATTCGATTTCACGCATTCTTTTTTTCTTTAGTGAGAATCTGGTTTTGGTTGTGATTGTTTCTAGAGTGGTTGTGATTGTTTTTAGAATAGCGAAGTTGGTTTTTAAGTTTACTGTGTTTTTTCTTTTCAATTTGAGAATTGTGATCATTGATGCTTGAGAGCTTGTAAGAGAGTGTAGTGGTACATATTTGGTATTAATGAGAAAGTTTTTCTGATAAAAGCAAACTAAGACATTTGATCACATAAACCGCGTTAACCTTAATGAAGATTCAGTTGGACCCTGGATCCAGCACGGGAAGACGGCAATGCAAACTGATTGATTTATCGGTTTGACGAGTCCCGGGAACCATGAACTGGAAGATCACTGTCAAACAAGCACCTTGAGGAGCAATTCCATAGAAAGCAGAATCTGGTTTGGTTAAGTGACATTGAAGACTCTTCGAAAAGTGTTTTACACTCACTTGAACAGACTGAGCATCTCCTCTAGCAATAGCTCTCTCTGAACGAGCCTGAGCACTTAAGTTCCTATCTTCAACAGGAGCCTGAGATTTCTCGCCAATAACCGAAAGCCTCTGGAACTCAGTACCAAGCCTAATCAAAGTCGTTGAGATTTGCACTTGCAGATCACCGTGCTTGCTTATCGTAACATTAAGAACATCCCCAACATGTCTCATATGATCCACAAAGTTCTGTAACTGATTCGGGTCTTGAACTTGAACAAGAGTCGGAGGCAGGTCTTGAGCCGAGTCAAGAGCAGTTTGAAGATCAATAACTTGAGACCGAGACAGCGGTTTTGAAATCGGAACATCTTGAATAACTGCAGATTTGTATCCTTTCGTTTCAAAAGTGAGAAACGGCATCGGTTGAGTACAGTTAGGAGGCAGTTTTTTGACAAGTTTGATCTGCAATCTGTTTGCAGCTAATCCACCACTGAACTCAGTACAAATACTAACACTGCTCTTCACTGCTCGATACAAAAGAGCAATATCCAAGGAGAAAGCGATACGATCCTCGTTCTGGCTCGATATACGATAGTCATCAAAGAGAACGTCTTTGCGGAACTGAGCAATGCATTGAACTCCATCACCATTGAGAAGATTATGAAGGAAGAACAAGTGTTCTTTAGTGAGAAGAAGATGACAATTCTTCCCCATTTTGTCAAATGCTGGAAGAAACCTCTTCTCTAAAAGATTCACACCATTTTCAGTAAGAAACGCCTTGAACTTCATTTCACTGTTACAGAGAAACAAGACGACGGAGGAATCTTAGAGAAATCACTCAACAGATTCTGGGAAAAAAACGATTAGGTTAAAGCGATTCTCCAAAACTACCAGCAAAGATTCAATCAAACACAAAGCCTATTCAAATTAGGAAATCAAAACATCGGAGTTTCATGAAATTGGAGAATCGTTTGGATCGTTTCAATTGTTAAAAAAAAAAAAAAAGATTTTCATAAACTCACCGGAATCTACAGTTCGTAAACTCTGGATCTGATCGGACTTTTCCTCGAAGCTGAAGATTGTAGCTGCGTTGAAGAAATTAATCAATCTGTATAAAACATTTATGAACATTGTTAGTGAAAAATCGACAGAGATTCAGAGAACTCACCAGCGAAGGATTTTTTGCGCCAAAAACAACTCTGAAAGATTGAAGGAGAGGGAAAATTGGTTTTTGTGTAACAAGCCCATTAGTGTCATAAGCGTACACGTTCAAAGGCCCATAGGGGTAAAATGGGAAATTAGTTATAAGTGAAAAAAATACTTTATTTGAATTAAGAATTTTAATTGTGAAAATGAATCATATTTATCTTTTGGCTTCATTAATCGTTTGTTAGTTATTATTACAGCTCTATGTCAAGAAAACAAAATTATAAAGCAAACAAAAATATAAATAAGATTTATTTTTTAATTTTTATATATATACAGATATAGTTTCAGAAATCCTTCTATAAACACTAACTAAAAACTAGTCTTGTTTTTCTTCTACACTATGAACTTTGCCTAAAGACTCTTGAAGAACTTGCATTGCCACTTTATAATGATCCAAAGATACCGCTCCTTCTTCAACTACCTGAAGAGCGTTTTTATACAACTGATCAAACCATTGAACCCGGTCTGTGCCATCCACGAAACCGGTCAAGCCGTTATCAGCAAAATGGAGGCGTTTGTAGTCTTTTCTCCACCGCGGTAGAATATACCGTAATGGGATTTCTTCAACGCCGTTGAAATTGAGAACACATAGAGCATGTCTGCATAAGTATCCGTAGAAGTTGAAGCAGCTACAAATGCACCGTACTTCACCAACTGATCTATTGTACAGAACCTCGAAATCACGGATTTCTCTTCTGTTGGATTCTCCTTGGACCCGTTCTTTCACAAGGAAGATTATGAAAGGTCCATCAACGTGAACCTGTGTCGTGCTGAAACATGAGTACATTTCTTCTACCTCTACTTGGAATTTCTTGAACATGTCTTTCGTGTAGATTTTCGAGAGCTGTGTCTCGAAAGAACACTTTGTTTTAAGCTCGGTGGTGTTCAAGGTTAGAGACTCTAAGTCGCCGAGAGTTTCTTCCCTGTGCTTCTTCTGAAGAGCTAGCTCGTACTTATCGAAAAACTCTTTCAACGGTGTTTGCTTGTGAACATACCTCTCGAAAAATGGATTCAGGGTTTCTCCAGGATGAGCAGCGGCGATTCCTGCAAAAAACGTGTCTTTGAGATAAACCGGAGCCCATTTAGCTCGCTCTTCATACAAGGAACGGAGCCATTCATTGTCGATAACCCCAAAATTGTGAACCATGAATCCCCAAGCTGCTTCAAATTCAACAACTTTTAAGGTTTCGTAAACTGCTTTCGTAAATGCCTTCCTCACACCATCATAGTTATGCAACCCTCCTAATTTCTCTGGAATTTTCCTCATTATATGTGTCAGACTGAATCTGTGATGAGATCTTGGGAACACTTGAGAGATTGCAGCCTCTAAAGGCTTGCATCTGTCTGTGACAATGGTTTGAGGAGAACACTTCATGACACCGAGCCATACTTTGAGCAACCAATGGTAGGACTCCACTGTCTCTCCAGCAAGAAGACCACAACTAAGTAATGTAGTTTGCCCATGGTGATTCACTCCAGTCAATGTCACCAGTGGAATCTCGAATTTTCCGGATATATTAGAATTGTCGATGAAGATGACATCGCCAAAGTAACTGCAAGAGACTTTAGAGAAAGCATCTGCCCAGAATACATTCCGTAGTTGACCTTCATCATTTACATCCATCAGGTAAAAAAAGTTTGGATTTGTCAATTGCATACGGCAAAAGTAGTTGTAAATGGCTGCGGAATCTCCTCTCTTAAGGCTCAGCAAATCGGGTGACCCAGCGGAATTCTGAAACTTTTTGTTAAGAGTCGAATTTGGGTTCACGTTGTTCCCATTATCAATCACATGCGCCCGGTACAGCTTAATCGTCTTAGCGTCTGAGACTGGGCTAGATACACACTTCCTCTTGGTCCCGGTCCTTTTAACCGATTTATATAACTTACAACCGAGCAAATGATTATGATCAAGCATAACTTCAACAACCCGCCACCTCTTAGAATCTACCTGTCTCATTCTTATCATAGCAGGGCAACCAGTTCGAGTTTCCTTTCTAACACGATTCACATCGTTAATCCTCTTAAAACCTTGACTACTACAACAAAGCACCGCACCATACTTCTCTTTACTACGCCGCTTAAACCACGAATTCTTTACTCTTACTCGAAACCCAACTTCAGTAGCATAACAGTTATAATAGTTATAAGCATCATCATAAGACTCAAACTCCATTCCAACCGCCGGTGCATCAAATTCTTTTCTCTCAACAACTAAACCCCTCTGTTCATCAAACTCTCCCGTTGTTTCTTCTTCACTCTTTCTCTCTTCATTTTGACAAAATCCAACATCAATCTCATGCTCACTACTACAAACTAGAGCTTCTTCTCCTATCCCTAAAGTACATCCACCATCTGACATTGGATCATCTCTTTCACGAATCTCGTCGTTCTCTAAATACGCAGATGCTTGTACCTGTAATAACACACCATCTATCAATTTGACAAAAAGCTATAAACTTTGGTTCTAACAAACCCTATTTACTCAATTAGGGTATCAAACTTGTGAAGGAGCTGAACAAAATCATAATCAAACGTAACATCATCACAACGCAAACATCTAAAAACTTGAGCTTGAGCGATTCGATTCATGATCTTCACAAAATTCAAAAGAGGGGTTTTCGAGTTAAACACATACATCTTCATCAACGGACTCACTTCTCTCCATTGGAGCTTAAACTTCTCTTCCTTCGTCAATTCGCGGGTAAATTTTAAAAAAGCACTTGCCTTTATTGGATTGACGGAGAACAATCGTGAAATTGATCGGTCCGGGATGGATCCGGTCGGGTATTAAACGGAAAGATCCGACCAGAGAGTGATCTTGCGCGGGTATTGACCTTTGAAAGCGGTTAGGTAGTTTAACTTCTTCTTGTGACGGTGAAGGTTCTTTGGGGCTCGACTGGTGACTCTAGCATTTTCACCAACATAGAGAGACCCCTTAGGGTTTTCACAGGTTCAAAGCACGTGCTGCAAAACGTCGTCGTTTCTTCGCACTTAGACATATCAATCCCTGTATTTTTGTTAAATATCAGAAAAGACCCAATGTTTTCCATATTCTCAGTCTACCCTTACCTCTAATCATTTTAAAACTTTTATACGGATGTTTTGTTTTAGTAAATTTGATTTTGGTTAAGTTGTTATATAGTCATTTCCATACTTTTATGTGAGTAATGAAAGACTTGTGTAACTATTTTTTAATTTCATGTTGACATATAAAAATGAATAAATAGGTGAATAACAAACTACTCTGTATAGAGATCTTCTCTGCTAATTAAAGAAAAAGCATCTATTATTTGTCCTAATGAGTTTAGTGATTAATTATTTACATTACATAAAATTCCCTGAATTGAAAATCTATGAGATTAGTAAAATGCAAAAACTTGTTAATGTGATATATTAATCAGCTTATAAAATTGTTTGCTACATCAATTTTTTTTTCAATTTCTAAATTTTACCCACAGTTTTAATTTTATAATCATCAACCACTAATTTTTCAATTTCAATTTTTGTCTTTCTTCTACTCGCGCATATATAAAGAGAGGAATTACGCTTTTTTACTTGACCAATCAAAAACATGTCTCTACTCTCTCCTCTTCATCTGCTCCACTCATTCTCCTCCACCGTCGCCACAAAATCCACCGCCTCTAGAATCACTGCCACGCCGTCGAAACTCCGCTTCTCCGTCGTCAATGCGACACAGGAGAATGGAAACAGCGGTGGTAGTAAAAACGATCGTGATGAGGATCCTTCTTTTAACCCATTTGGTTTCGTTACTGACAATCCGTCTAGCCGGAGTGCAATTCAGTTACCGGAGTCTCCGGCTGAAGACGGTAACGTCGGTCAAATGCTCTACGTAAGTTTCACATATCTACTCACTTCAATTTTGAACTGTGATTGAAATTGAAAAAAAACTCATTTGCTTATACATTTGAGTGGTTTTGTTGATTGTTTAGAGGACTGAAGATAAAGGAAAAGAGTATGGTTCAACTATCAAATCGGGGAAGCTTAGGTGGTTTGTGAGAGAGACTGGTAAAAACTTAAGTTTTGTGTTTCTCTTTTTGCTTCAAGGAGAGTTTTTGATCACTGATTAATCTTTTTCCGGTAGGATCAAAAGAGAGTCGGCGAGGAACCATTGTTTTTGTTCATGGAGCTCCTACTCAGTCTTTTAGTTACCGGACTGTCATGTCTGAGGTGCTACATTGAATCTTGAATTATTTGTCTATATGAGAATCAGTTTCTGGAGTTGCTTCTAATGAAAGACTCATAATATAGATGATTTTGAGTATGCATTTGAATATTGTATGTTTCTTTTTGTTGTTCTGAACAATGTAATAGATGTCAGATGCTGGATTTCATTGCTTTGCACCTGACTGGATAGGATTCGGATTCAGTGATAAGCCGCAGCCGGGATACGGTTTTAATTACACAGGTTTGTTGATGTTACATTTAATAGTTTGTGAACTGCAAAGTCAGTATACATGGTTCTTTGTTATAATAAGTTTTCAATCTTCTCAGAAAAAGAGTACCATGAGGCGTTTGATAAACTGCTGGAAGTGCTAGAGGTCAAATCTCCTTTCTTTCTTGTTGTTCAGGTTCGGATGTGTGTTAACAATTTATGTTCAATCTGTATAATATGTTAACAATTTGTCAAGATTGAACATATATCTTATGTCTGCATTTGTTGTGGTCTCCCAAGGGATTTCTTGTAGGTTCATATGGTTTAACTTGGGCTTTGAAAAATCCAAGCAAGGTTGAGAAAATCGCGATCCTTAATAGTCCACTGACCGTTTCATCCCCAGTTCCCGGATTATTTAAGCAACTGAGGTTCAACTCTTTTGCTGTTTTGACTACTCTAATTATGCTTGTAATTCTTTGTGAAAGCATCAGCCTCGCGCCTTGATTATCGATTCTTATCTCTTGCTTTATATCGTGCTACATATAATGCCTTTCACTTGTGTGCCATTTTCTCTGATGCAGGATTCCCCTGTTTGGTGAATTCACCTGCCAAAATGCTATCTTGGCCGAGCGGTTCATTGAAGGAGGTAGCCCGTACGTATCGAATTAACCATCATCTTCATGTGGAGTGTATATGGTTATCTGATTTTTTATTATTATAGAGATGACAGATAGTGGCTGTTCTTACCTTAGCCTCAAAATGCATGTGTTTGGTGATATTGATAGAGGCTTCAACTGACAATTGTCTTACTCTATATCTGTTTTGATTGGTGATATTGATAGAGGCTTCAACTGACAATTGTCTTACTCTATATCTGTTTTGATAGCTACGTCCTGAAGAATGAGAAAGCTGATGTCTATCGTCTACCTTATTTGTCAAGCGGAGGACCTGGGTTTGGTACGTCTCTAAACCAAATTCAATGAATGGAGCATGATACACCTTACTCTTGTTTCTTATGATGGTTTAATGTATTATCTAAGAGACTTCTCATCATGAGATTCTGATGAATTAGCCTTGCTCGAGACTGCGAAAAAGATCAACTTTGGAGACACCTTGAGTCAAATTGCAAATGGGTTTTCATCGGGCAAGTACGTGCATTTCAACTTTTTTCAAATTCCCACGGCTACAGATAGGCCTGGTACTTTGCTGAGATTTGGATCCTTCACAGCTGGGATAAACCTACGCTTCTGGCTTGGGGAATAGCTGATAAATATCTGCCTCAGTCTATAGCAGAGGAATTTGAGAAACAGAATCCCCAAAATGTCAAGCTTCGACTCATCGAAGGTGCTGGGCATTTGCCTCAAGAAGACTGGTATGAGAATAAACGATACTGCTCTGGTCTGCTTTGATTCTTACGAGTATCTCTGAACTTTGAACTTTATATACAGGCCGGAGAAAGTAGTTGCTGCCCTCCGAGCATTTTTCTGACTTCCAAATTCACCAAACAAGGACAAAGGTAATCACAAAGCCTTGCAACAGCCAAAATAACTAGCAATAGTAGAGTTTCACAAAGCCTTTGTAGACATCCCACATTCCCAAAATATTTTCTTACAAAAAAATGGGATAAGTGTTTGCTGCCCACACAAAAAAAAAATCTTGGAGCCATACTATCCCAGCGAAATAAACAATTTGGTTCTACAGAATCTAATAATTCTGGGGACGACTTAGTGTGATCATGGACCAGTAGAGCCTCAAAGTTCTTCAAACGAGTTTCTTCGATCACAGATCGGAAGTCGACATCAGATGTGATCATCATGAATACTGCTGGTTCCTGCTCTGTGAGCAAAGTCTCAAACACCTCTTGTATCAGTTAGCGGTGGAGGCAATGAAGTCGGTGTTTGAGACTTTGCTCACAGAGCAAGAACCAGCAGTATTCATGATGATCACATCTGATGTCGACTTCCGATCTGTGATCGAAGAAACTCGTTTGAAGAACTTTGAGGCTCTACTGGTCCATGATCACACTAAGTCGTCCCCAGAATTATTAGGTTCTCAACTTTTTCTTCCCTTTGGCTTCTTACCAGCTTGGCTAGTAGCTTTCTCTTCAGATTTCCTCTTAATCGCAGGCTTTGTACCACGGCCTCTGGGTTTCACAACTTTCTCTTCACCTTCACTATCTTCTCCATCATCAGCATCATCGTCCTCATCGTCGCTATCTTCTGTTTTTCTCTTCGAGGCAGGCTTCTTACCACGACCACCCCTGGGTTTCTGTCCTTTCTTCGGTTTAGCACTCTCATCTTCTTTCTCGGATTCTTGTTCATCTTCTTCTCCATCTTTATTGGGTTTCACACCTCGTTTAGCCGGTCTAACCTTGGCTGCTTTCTCTGCGTCTTTCCCAGAAAGTTTCTGCAGTTCTGGAACATAAGCTGTTGTCTACAAGAGAAAACAACAAAACACAGAAACATTAGTTCAGTTCACTACGTGAACCAATCACCCACATTATAACAGTGCCTACAATGCATACATATACTTACCCTTCCACCAGCAGTAATGAAATCAATCTTCTTCCCTGCAATAACCAAAACAGTATTCATTACCAACCACACAAATCAGACACATCACGATTCACTCTCATAACTTTTAAACCATTATTATGGGGATTAACAACTGCAGATGGAGGTTGAGGATCAACAGATCCAACAATTTTATGAACTTTTGCAGGTAGATAAAGAGTTTTGAGTGTGAAATCTGGGATTCAAACCATCAACAAAGGCCTTTCCTGGCTTCTTTTCCCTATCATGAAAAATCCAGTTACTAGGAAACTGACTACTGTCTGCATCAACTTCCACAGCTTTTTCTATCACCTGCAAAACCCCAAATTCTGCTTCATCAAATTTATAGATAGATGGTGGGAAAGCTTACCATTAACTTTCCCCGCTTTTTTCCCCCACCGAAAATGAAACAACCATTCAACAGGAAACTCTTTGCTATCAGCACTGACTTGAACCGCATGTTGAATGACCTACAAATGCGGGTTTTTTCTCTCTCTAAATCCCAATAAATAATGTATCATGCATATATACTAACAGAGCTTTCTTAATTCCCATGTTTTTTAGGTATATGTTTTGGTGGGTTTTTTAAGAATCTTACCTCTTTGATGGATGTGTGCAAAGCTTCACATTGCTCTTTGGAAAGGCTAGAAGCAGACTGCAACGGGTGGATTCTGGCCTGAGAAAAACATAAACTAGTAGAATTAATCGTACAGCATGTAAACCAGTTTCTTCTGTCGTCAAATGTACAGAGTTGAAAACAAAAGTGGATACTTTGTGAATCAATAAGTGGTTACATAGATGCTTTACTTCATTTCAAGTGTAAGTGTGTAAAGCTCACTTACTTGGTACAGCACTTCATCAGCGATCCAATTCCCAATACCTGAAATAAAACCCTGCAAAAGGAAAGAGATACATAATCCTCTAAATGCGAACTTTTTATACAAAAGAAGAGGAACAAAACTTTCCAAATCAAAAGAAGATCATTTCGAGTTACTGCAGCATTTAAAATGTCATATAGCCAAGTTCTAGTTATTGTGATAAGTGGTGAGGACAAGAAAGAGCTGAAAGATGCATAAAAGTGAGAGAAAATGAATTTAAACTCTGAACCTGATCAAGTAGGAGAGGTTTTATGGTTATTTTCTTTTTAGCTAAGTTTTCTGCAAATTCCTCAACTGTCATAGGCTCTAACAATGCATCAGGACCAAGCTCTGATATTGGACTCACAGATGTTGGCTGCAAATGCAATAGCAGACATAAATTACACAATCACTAAGTATCCACAGAGAAGCTTAATAAAGAAAAGCAACATAGAGTTACGCTTCTATATACATTTGCTAGAAGTCGAACTTTAGCAAATCTCCTCTTATCAGTAAATGAAAGCTCCAGACCATCATCAAGCTGTATACAAAATCATAACTCATTGTGATTAAAGCACATATTTCAGGTTCGCGGTCAGTTAAAAGAAGATTATAAATTTCTTAACCTCGACGAAGAACTTTGAATACTTAGATGGCCACTCGTCTGAGTCCTTTACAGCAGACCTACATAAACAATGTAATACATATCAATCTTCTTCTATAAATCTTATACTTAAAAAAAAAGAAGCAAATACTTCACAAACTCCATAAAACTCACCTCTTATACTTAGTAACTGCAACGCCTTTGATATAGATAGCACCAGCCATACCTGAAAAACACACATAAACCAAAATATAAGTTGTAAGAAACAATAAAGCCTAACACTTTCACCTCTTTCTTATGCATCAAAGCAAATAGGTCATTAAACTATGATTAGTCCTGCATTTTAGCAAATGTTCGATTTTGATGTAATATTTTTCCATCAAAAGTCCTCACTTTACATAAAATGCAAAAGTGAAACCCTGAAGAACAAAACCAAAACCAAAGCCAAATATAAGTTCTCATAAACAATAAAGCCAAACACTTTGACTCCTTTTTTAACGAATCAAAGCAAAAAGGTCTAGAATTGAACTATGAGCAGTCCTGTATTTCGTCAAATTTTCAATTTTGATGTAATTGATTTGATGCCTTCTAAAGTCGTGATTTTTAAGATGTTAAACCCTAAATCTGTTTAAGAGAACTTACCAAATTGAAAAGAAGGAAATGGCGGCGAATCTAACTCGAGCCAGAGGTTTTTGCCCTTTCTACGAGCAGAGACGATGGTTTTGCCGAGGATTGAGATTTGGAAATCAGACGGCGAGATTCCATGGATTACTTTGTTGTCGTCGGCGATAATGACTCGCTTAATCTTCTTTCCAAGACAATTTTCTTCTATTGCTCTTCTCGCCGCCTCTACCTCTGGAAGCTCCGGCATGGTTTTTTTCGTCGGCGAAATTAGGGTTTTGGTCTCTCCGGTTCCCTCCGATTCGCGCGCTTTTATTGCTTCGTTTTTTTTAGTTGTTCCGCTTTAGTTGTAGCATTGTACTTTGTACTCTCTTTCGAGCAAAATCCTAAGGAGGTGTTATTGGTTTGCAACTTTGAAAGAGTTTTAATAACTTTAAAGAATATAGAAAATAGATAAAATTAAAGATTTTAAATGATTACTAGAGAGTTTTGTATAATCTCTTTGATTAGCTTTTCCATAATCTTGTAAAATCTCCATCATAATTTTCATAATCTTGTAAAGTCTCCCTAAATATAATTATAAACTTTGATAGTATCTCAAACTTTTATTATAACATATTTCCAAAATATTGCATAATATTCTATTGTGGTTATTATTGCCGGTCTCATATTCTATAAAATTATCTCCACCAAAAAGCGTAGGTTTTGGTTTTGTCAAAAATGTTACGTCTATAGGTCTTTGTTAGAAAGATTAGAGAGATGTCGTAAACAAGTTACGTTAATGGATCTTTGTTATTATTGGTCTTTGTTTAATGGGTAGGAAGATGATCCACGTTAATATATGTTGTTTTCTAAAAATTGTACATACAAAGTCAAATGTACTCATATGATTCACAATCTCTCTTTTTATGATACTTTTCATGATTTTAGTTTGTGAAGAAAAACGTATAAAATCATAAACCAATAACACAATAGTTTAAATCATTAACAATCAGAGATACTTTTGTTTTAGTTGAATAACACAAAATTTTCAATGACTTTATTAAAGTATGAATCCAATAACTCCAGATTTATGAAGATTTTAAATTAGTTTTTACAAATCTAAAACTAATAACACCAAACTTTAAGAAAGTCTTAAAAAATCTTAATTGAATAACAAAAGATTTTTTATAACATTTTAAGTCATTAAAAGTCCTAAACAATCACAAACCAATAACATCCCCTTAGTTTTTTTTTTTTTTTTTTGTTAATACAAAATCCTAAGTTCTTGAATTATACCTTTTGAAAAATATACACATAATTATACCCTAATTTGTTTTTTTTTTTGGTAACCAAAACCCTAATTCTCTAACACGATATATATATCATCCTTTACTTCGCCTTTTTGATAACTTCCTATATCTCCTCCACCTTCATTCTTCACGCTGTTCTCTTCTTTTTTTTCCCCCTCTATTCCACATATGACATATCGATTATTCTTTTGAGTTTAAGTTTTCATAGACCACCGGCTCCATGTTTAGTGTTAATAAAAGAACACAAGCTTTCTCTGTCTTTATTTTCTTTTTGTCCATTGCTAAAGTTATCAGATACTTGACAAAGCAGAGATCATCAAAACAAGAAGCAAAAAGATTGGAATATTTTCAACTACTTTTATCAAAATTAAAAGATTTTCAACTACCCCTTGACCTAATTGTGGAGATACTCAAAAAACTCCCGACAAAATCTTTGATGAGGTTCCGATGTGTCTCAAAGCAATGGTCATCCATTATAAGCAACCGTAGAGACTTCATTGAGTCGATCATGGCTCGGTCTTTGAGACAGCCGCCTCATAAGCTTCCGGTCTTCATCTTCCACCAGTGTGCGCCTGAAACTTCCTTCACCGTGTCGTCTACATTCTCTCAAAACACAAAACCGAAAGTATCAATAATGCCTAGACCAAACAACTATTATTCGTTCAGGTATCAATACATCCAAGGCTTTATCTGTTGTTCTTCACCAGTATATGATGTGGTTACGATATACAACCCTACCACGAGGCAATGCATTCCTTTACCCAAGATCGAATCAATGGCACTCTCACTAAAGAGACACAAAAACTGTTACTTTGGATATGACCATGTCATGAATGAATACAAAGTGTTGGCCATGGTTAATGACTCGCAAGAGTTGACGCAAACTTTTCATGTTTTCACATTGGTTAAAGATTGTCATCAATGGAGGAAAATCCGAGGCAATATTGATGAGGAACTCATTCCAGTCGGCCAGGCGGGGGTATGCATTGACGGAACTATTTATTACGTAGCAGTTAGAAGAAAAGAAATGTTCAACTATGGTGAAACTATAATGCTGAGTTTTGACGTGAGGTCGGAAAGATTTTATCATGTCCGCACTCCTGAAGCATTGTGGAGTCCCAAGTGGAATGATCGAGCTCTTTTTAACCACCAAGGGAAGCTAGGATGCATAAGTAATAACGAAAACAATACAAGTGTGTGGATTATGGTGAATGCTGAGAAACAAGAATGGTCCAACATTACTTTTGACTTGCTTGAATACCCTGGAGGTGATTTCAGAACTTTCTCAGGTACCACTCCTGCTGGTGAGATATTTATTGTTCAAAGTATGTGTTATACTTCTATTATGCCATTGTATGTTCATTATTATAACGTGAAGCAAAAAAGCTACAGAAAAGTTGAAATAGAAGGTGCTAGGCTAAAGACAAGAAAACAACGCGTATTTGCCATTCATGATTTTGTCGAGAATACAATGTGGTTGTAGAGTCATTTCACTCATTTGTATTATTTTAAACCTTTTAATATCAATCGGTCATTATTTATTTTTCATAGTTAAACTGGAAGGTGATATACTGCTCACAAAATATTTAATTACTATATGTATTAAGGCATATTGTGTCTCTCTTGATAATGTTAATTTCAGTATTTCCTAGTAAATATTGATGATAATGGTGAGATCTTGAATTCTATATTTGTATAGTTTATGAAATAATAATCCAAGAACTATAAAGAATTTTTATATCTGCTACCCAATTCAAATGTCACCTTATTTGATTTTTTTCTAATTTTATAAAATGGTAAAAATTTACTTCCTTCTTTCATAGGGATTTACTTCTGGTTTTGGGATTCTTATCTCTAAGAGAAACTTACTTTTTGATATGCACAAAACCCTAAAGTCCTTAACACACCATATCTATATTAATCGTCTTCTTAGCCGTCTCCATATTTCACAATCCTTGTGAGTTTCAGTTATGATTCATAGATTACCGTTACGTTTTAGTGTTTACAAAAGAAGGAGAAAAACAGAGATCATGAAGAAAGGAAATGAAGAGAAGAATGACCATGAAGAAGAATATTTGCAACTCCTTCTGGATCTCATTGTGGAGATACTAAAGAAACTCCCGGGGAAGTCACCTGTTAGGTTCCGATGCCATTGTATGTTTACTACTATGATATGAACTAAAACAGCTTTAGAAGAGTTGAAAACTTGAAATCCAAGGTACTAGGCTGGAGAAAATTCCCAAGCATCGTAATTCTATCTACGTATTCGCAATTCATGATCATGTCGAGAACAGAATGTTGTTATTGTAGGATTCATTTGTATTAATTTAAATAAAAGATACCTCAAGGAAACTCTAAAAAAGTGGTGATGGAAAATAAAAGGGAAGGTAAGGGAAATAAATGTGAATTTGGATACCTAGAGGAAGTACTCGTCGAATGGACGGGCCTTCGGGATTACAAGCGGAAGAATGTCATCAAAAGTCGGTTTCTTCGTTTCAACCTTGAGGATAAGGTTACTACTTTCAAAGGCGGGGATATAATGATACATATGAATCCCAGCATTCTCTTATACATGAAGAGAGGGAGAGCCCACAAGCAGGGGTATGTATCAATCTTGGCTTATCACTGTGCTTTTTATCATCCACTCTTTTAGTGTGAAAGAAAATAAACTAATTTGACGTATCAAATGAGTCTAAATTAAAAGCCCTTAATTAATGACCGGGAACAAATTTTTGTGCACTTGTGAACGATATACATTTGTGCTTTCGAACTTAGATTTGTGTTTACATCTAGAGTTACCTTTTGTGTCTACATTTGCGTGAAGTATTTTAGCTTAGCACTCTATATTTGCATTTGACTCTAAAGTTTATGTTTGAGTTTGTCTTTGACATTTGTATATGTGTGCATTTTGTTTTGTTAGATTTTACGTTCGTGTTTGCATTTAAATTTGTTAGTATTGACGAGTTAGTGTTTGCGCTTTTTTTTTTTCTGTGAGCACAATAATTATGTTTCAGTGTATGTGTTCACTTTCGTGTATATTGTTGAGGTTGACTCCTTTATTGTTCCTTCAAAAGTAAAAGAAGACAAGAATCATAAGAGGATGATGAAGGACAGAGAAATACAGAAGTAGAAGAAGAAGAAGGAATCGGAGAAGACAGAGAGAAGTTAACGAGAAAAAGAAATAAGAAGAAGAAGTTGGACTTGAAGTTGTTTTGTTGTAATAAGACTAATGGGCCTACAGATCAAGTTAGGCCCAAGTGATTTAGTGTGTTGGTGTTGTAGTCTAAGGGAGTAGTTAAGGGTTGTTTGTGTGGGTTGGAACCTAGCATCTAGAGGTAAGGAAAAAGTGTAAATGTAAGTGCAAGTGTGTGTGCTAGAAAAGAAGTATTATATGTATGTGTGTAAGGTTAAAGAAAAATTAATGAAAATGGAGGTGTGTTAAGAAGAAAAACGTTTTGAAGAAAGAACAGAGAAAAAGTGAGTGAAACCAAACCTGAAACTAAAGTGAAAGTGACGAATTCAACATATATGCATTTATGTTAGCGTTTAGTGTATGTATTCACCTTCGTGTATGTGTTCGCCTTCGTGTATGCGTTTATGTTTTAGTTAGTTATCATCAAAGATGTGTTAGCTTAATAGAGGTTTTATTAATCCTAAAGCAAAACAATCAACCTAAAAAATACATGTCTAACTCATACCTTAGAAAGAGAAGAGTGTACCGTTGATTGAAGTACACCAAAGTTTTGCTTTGAAGATGAAAATTCTGAAAAATGCATGCATTAACATATATCAAGCGAAGTAGCAAAGTTAAGGATTACTTACTTGCAAAAACTGGTGTTGAAGACGGCGTGCACCGAAAAAGCTCAAATCATGTCTACGATAAAAGAATCATATAGTTATATACTTGGCCTAAAAATATCAAAGGCCAGAAATTTTAACAGAGATTAAATTGTTTATTGGCCATACCTTTAGTTTCAAAGAAGTTGATAAGCTTTAAGAACACAAATGGATCAAAAAGTCAGAAGTACTAGTACCTTAGAGTGGACTTGGGGGTTTAGT